GTTAGTTCCTTCTGAAATATTATAATACTATCATCTTATTAGTTTGAAATCATTACTTACTGTCATAGTACAGTATACTTGACGAATATCTGGAAAAAAATTTGTTTTTTCACTAACAGATAAATCTTTAATATATGTTCGAGTAGTTTCACCAATGTCGATATTTACATTATTTTTTTGACTATTTTGAAGCTCGAAAGGAACAGACAACAAATCACTACCTTCTTTATCTTTTAAAAGTTCTTCTTTGACAAATGACAACATAATATTGAGTAACAAGTTGCAACATTCACCATATAATAAATGAACCAATGGTTGTTCTTGCTGCAACCAGAAAAGTTCTCTTTTAAATATTGTTTGATAGAGGAAAAGAATAAAATGAAATTTAGCAAGAGTCGATTTATCAGTAATAAAATTTTTAATTCGGACATATTTATCATTTGATTCAATTTTTTTATCGATTGTTGGAAGATATGTAAGAAAATATTCTTTAATAATATTCCATTGATCGATGATACGTTCGATCACGGGACCTACTTCAATCCACCGAGTAACAACAAAACGAGCAAGAAAACGAGAATAAGTTTCATTAATACTGTTCGCAGCTGATATAAAATCTTCCCGACGAGCAGAAGATCGAGAAAACCAAAACCAAATATCATTAATTGATTCATCAATAAACCATACCGTGGATTTAAATCCTTTCCGAAAAGAACCATGAATAACATGTAAAGGACATGAGCCAATTGAAATAAGACCTAGCACCGGCATAGATGATGATCTGATGAACAATATTCAAAAAATCACGAGGAATCAAAGAAAATCAAGGTTCATTACTTTTTTTTTCGTTCAGCAATTACTTCTTTATTAAGAATATCTTCAATTGCTTTATTTACATTTGGATTATCTCTCCCTGAGCGAATAAAACATATGATACGGACAAAAGGTGAAAAGTATGACATACCGAGCATCAACATTTTTGTAATATCAACTCCATCCGATTTTAGTGAATCAATAATCGATCGAGAAACGATATCCGCAGTAGCATGACCAAGCATAATACTTTTATAAAATCGAACACATACACAATTTTTCGTCTCTGACCAATATCGAAAAAAAATATCCAATTGTTTACGAACACCAGCAATAGTTGTTTCATCAAAAATTAATGTAAAACCATGAGCTTTACGTACATCTTTAATTAATTCATTAGTAAAATAGTAACCTGTTCCATGTGAAATAACATAAGATATTTTTCGTGAACGTAAAGAATAATCAGTTGCGATTTGACTATCAGGAAACATAAATCGAAATACTTCTGGTAGAAATTGCGATGAATTGTATGAAAAGCCAAGTTGAGATGTAGCCATCGCCCATATACATTCAGCACGCGTGACTTCTAGAACATAAAATTAGAAACATAGTTGTCATCAAATGAAAATTCTACCGAATTTGTATACAATAATTTATATTTTAGTCAGTACACGCAGCCAGCAAAAAAAATTAAAAAAATGAACTTGTAAGATAACCTTAGATTTCAATAGAAAGAAAGGAAAATTCCAGGCAGTAGTCGTCAATAACATGCGTTGACGGCTGTATTGACCGGTGCATTTTTCATTCTCTTTCTTTTCTAAATTGCGTCTATGGTATAATCGAGTCTAACTCGGTATTTCTTTTCTCTATTCTTGCTCTTCATGACCGATAAATGTATTTAAAATATGTATTTCAGTTTTCTTTCATATTCTGATAGGTTTTCATCTTTTTACATACTAACTGATAAAACAGAAATAACTCCACAAAAACTAATAATTACGAACACTTACTATCTTCATGTGTTAATGATCTTTGATCATTTTGAATACTAACGACAGGAATTCTTGTTTCATTAACACTTGTTGATGACGTTGTTGTACACACACTGCCATCATTCGTGTTACTTGAGAAAGACGATGATGGATGTGAGGATGCAACGAGTGGAATAGAACCAAAAACATCCTTCATACATTGAATGTGTTTTGGTCGATCGAAATGCTTCTTTACATCACGCCATCCTCCATTAGCACAACTGAGATCATCTGTATTACACACAATACACCGGAATGAACTTGATGTTTTACCTTTGGCAAGCCAGCGAGAGCATACTCTACCAGTATTATCAAACTTAAGCAGCCATTTTGAACAAAAATCTGTTTTTCTCGGCATTTGAAAATGCTTAATTGAAGAGTTACATTTACATAAACAAATATTTACATGGTGATGATTTTACATATGAAGAGAAAATACAAACTAGAATAAATAACAAGCGAGGAGAGAATGAAGAGAGAATAGAGACTAGAATAAACAACAAGAGAAGATAGAACGAAAAGAAAAAAAACAAAATTAGAAGTGCGCATCTGACGGAAAGATTATATTGTTGCACATTTTATTTTTTCTGGATCAGTTTTGACATTTATTAAAGCAATGTATTTTGTAGTATTAACGCTCAATCGTTACTCTTTTTCCACTTTGATGTAAATTTGATACTGAAAAGTAATATCGGCGTACGTTTTACAATGTCCTGACTTTTATTTAAATTCCTGATTTTTTTTTGACTTGTGTCCTGCCTATTTTCCTGATTTTGCAACATAGGCCGCTGCGACCCCTGTGAATTGTGTAACCCCATATATGTATAAATACATATGTACGTAGGTACACAAAAACGACAAAAAATACGAGTTACTATCACTATTGATATCGGAGATATGCCAAGGTTTAACCTTGCACTTGGATGTTAGTTATTTCATTTTAACATGTATACAGTTTTCAATGGCAAAGACAAAGGTCAACATGGATAAGCAAAGAGAACTTTAATTTTGAAAAGTTTAAAAAAATTTAATTAAGATCTTTAAAATTGAAATAAAATTAAATAATTCTTTTTTTTTCCCTGACCATAAAAATAAATGTCTTTCTTGGATTCTTTTCAATCTTAAAAAATGAGGGTGTAGTTTTTTGTTAAAAAGAAGCACTGGCACCCATAACCACCTATATCCGCATTTATCATCATACTCTTTCATCTGAACAAATAGGAGGGCTTAGCACAATCTTCATTAAATCTTTTTTTGAGAGATTTATTTCGAACGTGCACCATTCATTTAAGACTAATAATATTTCAGAGCAATGCCATCCTGTACGATAGTTAAGAGTGTGAACACAATCTGTATTCGTTGTGTCCGATTATGAATATCTTTTCCTCTTTTTTTTTGTATTTTATCAAGATAATTAACGCATTGATCAGCACTTGTAAGATTTCCAAAGTGTTTAGAATGGATTCCGATGGAAGGATGGGCTAAGAAAAGTCTTCGTCAGATTCGTTTATATTACTCTTCAGTCAAGGGAAACTATGTTTTCCACATATTTATGCAGGAAAATTATATTTAGGAGTAGTTTAGAAATCAATAAACAATAGTCCGACTTATTTTTCTAGTTAGATTGTTTTCATTGGCGTAACATATAAATGTCACATTGAATCAATGAGATGTTCATATTCTGTTATAATCTAAAAGATTCATGCAGAATGATCTTTTATTTTGTTAAGTGAGTGTAGAAAATCTACGAACGAAGGGCGGATGTGGGTGTGAATTGAAGAGTATATAAACACCCACACCCTGATATTCACAACAACTAGTGCATAGCGGATACTTTATCTATTATTCTTAGAATCATATGTATACTGAAATACTTTATCAAATCCTTCAATGTATTCGAAGTCAACCAAAAACCAACAAAAAGGGAAAGACAAATAATTATTTGCTTCAAGACTTTTGAATTATTCATGCATTTTTTTTGAAGTTCATTTTTATTAGAATGTCTTCTTCAGAAGCTATATTGTTACTTTTTCTATAGATCTAAATATAAGTCTATAATCTTGTATTATTGTATAGTTTTCCTTCAAATACAACTTTTGTTTGAGGATATATTTCATACATGCTTAACAAACATAAAATGGGCTCAGTTAATGTAACCTTTTTTTTTGGATATGTGCCGTGATATGTGGTTTTCTACAGAGTTCAATTCAATTTCTCTACAGACGTCAAAATTATTTGTTCATACTAAGATTATATTCATGGTTCTATGCAGTAATATAGATAGTTCATTTCTAAATGTGTATTCACAAAAGCAATAGATGAATGAATGATAATATTTAATATCTATTAGCACAACACAAACTGGTGTTAACTTAATATAAGTGTATTTTTCGTCATAAAAAAATATCGAAGAAAAAATGCCAAAAAATCTCTAAAGATTATTGCTGATGATCAGTCTTCGAAGTTTGCACAAACACATTCTTATGGAATGGTAGATGAACAATATTGTTTTTAGGACTTTCAATACGTCTTTTATATTGATCACTCTACAGAGAAATTGTAATATAAATTCAATTTCTATTTCGAAGAATTGTTTTCTCGATAAATATAGCGTTAATTTTTCACTTGAAGGCTTTTATCAACATCGCTACTTGCTTACAATAGACATGTGACACATTTCATACTATGAAAAATAGTAATAAACAAGACATCGGTGAATAGCGAAAGAAAACACAATTTGTTTTTTCGATGACTTAAAAACATAATCATGTATCAATTCACTTTAGTGATTAGCTTGAATTCAACAATATTTTTGATTTTGATTATACTTTAGTTGAAATTACAGATAATTCGTTGTTACTACTATAATGTTACTTTGTAATTGTGACGATTTTGGATAGAAGAAGAGTTAGTGTTGATGGAATAACATTTTATTTAGCTTCCTCTTATTATAAATCGCATTACTTACGTACAAAGTTTACGCTTATGTACACAACCACAAGAGAAAAGGACAGAAGAGAGAAAAAGAGAAAAACACAAATAGAACAGAAGCAGAAGATATGGATAACAGGAAAGAAAAAATGAGAAAGGACGCATATAACGATCTCAGCACAATAACATTCTATATGTAACGCTGCGATCTATAAACATAAGAACATGGAACCAGTATCAGCATCGCATGATAATAATCTCGAGACATTTTATCAGATTTGGCTTTGTGACCCAGTCAATAACTCACAAAAGTTTCGTGATGCTCAACAACAAGTTCGATCATCGATCAATTATATTAAGACATTTGAGCATGTTACTGAATGCGAACAATATATTCGATCTCTTTCCGACGTCGATAGAATCGTTTTTATTGTCGATGACCTTTTAGGTCAACAAATAATACCTCGTATTTGTCAATACAGGCAAGTACTCGCCATATATGTTTACGGAACAGAAAAACAAACCAATGAAACATCGTTCAAACAATTTATGAAGGTAATCCTTCATCCAAAACTTTTTGATGATTTTATAACACTTCAATTATAGTTTCGAGGTATGCGCACAAAGTTGAACGAACTTGCAAATCTTATTCAATTGGATTGTAAAAAACGATCACGCTATGAATGCGATGAATCATTGTCGATTAATATATTTAGCTCCAATATTGATCAAGAAGTATCAACAGTCGAATTAAGTGGACAATTTATTCATTCACAATTATTGATTGATTGTCTTCTAAGAATGAAGTCAACTGAAACAGAAATTGAAGATTTCGTAAATTTCTGTAAAAGTCGAAAAGAGTATCAGGGCAATGAAGAACATTTAAGACGTGTCCAACAATTTCAAAATGAGTATTCCAGTGAGAAATCATTATTGTGGTATACAAAAAATTCGTTTGTTTATCGCATGTTGAACAAAGCACTTCGTATACAGAATGTTGATGTACTTTTTCTTTTTCGTTTTCTCATTCGTGACCTCGCACAACAATTAAAAAAGCACCAATGTTCATCTTCAGAATCTGTTTATCGAGGGCAATCGATGGGAAAAACTGAAATAGATAAACTTCATGAATCAATTGGAAAAATGATTTCGATAAATTCATTTTTGTCGACGACTCGAGATCGTGAGGTCGCTAAAATGTTTGCTGACAAGTCGATCGATCTCGAGGCTGTCCTTTTTGAAATTAATATCAATTCTTTACTCGATGGTATCAAACCATTTGCCGACGTATCATCATTCAGCGATTTTCCTCAAGAAAAAGAAATTTTGTTCATGTTGGGATCAATTTTTCGGATTGATAATGTTTATCAAGATGAAAATGGAATGTGGATAATTCAATTGAATTTATGCAGTGATCATGACCGAGATTTGAAACCGATCTTTAATCATTTGTTAGATGAATCTGGTAATTGTGAATCGATTCTACTCGCGTTTGGTAATATACTTCAAGATATGGGTAAATTTGACGAGGCCAAAACTTACTATGATCATTGTCTCAAACAATTGCCGTCTGATGATCATCCATGGAGTGCTTACTGTTATTACTTACTTGGTTTGATAGCCACGGAGAAAGGTAATAATGACGTCGCTCTAGATTTGCTTAATAAATCTCTAAAGATTCGAAAAAGATTATTACCATTATCTGATCCAAGTATCGCTGATACGCTCACTGGTATTGCTCGCGTTTATTATAACCAGAATCAATGTAAGCAAGCACTAGACTTGTATACCGAAGCATTACTTATATTTCAACAAGCATTTGGCAAGGATCATTTGACCAGCGCCATGGGTTATACTAACATGGGTGTCGTTACTACAGCAATGAAAAAATATTCTGAGGCGCTTGATTATCATAAGAAGGCATTGGCTATTCGAAAGAAGCATCTTCCACCGGATCATTTTCGCTTTGGCACATCGTATAATAATATTGGGGAAATTTATAGATGTCTCGGTCAATATGATCTCGCATTGAAGCATTATGAAGATGCACTAGCAGTCTATAAAAAGTCATTACCTTCCCAACATATAGATATTGCAATGACACTCGTGAATAGAGGTCTCATTTATGAGAAAACATTCTGTGTACAAAAAGCACTGATATCTTATCAAAATGCTATTGCCATCTGTCGTCATACGTGGCCTGCTGATAATATCGAACTTGCCAGAATCGAGGAATGCATCCAAAATACTATAAAGCAAAACGAAGAGAAGACCGCGTCTGTATCATTGGGTGCAATGTTTATAAAACTGCTTCGGCATTCGAAGTGTATTGCCTCTCTCGATGAACGCATAGGTTATAGAGGAATACAGCCGTCATATACAAATATGGACACAATAAAAACAAAGAGCAACAATGGAGCTTAACAGGCAACGTTCGAGAAGCATGGCAGTACTTATTCAAAACGTGTACATTACTTTAAATAATTAAATTTCATTTAATCGATCCTACTCCTATATATCGTGTAGACCTACGTAGACGTGAATACACCTATGATAGGGTAGCTGCTTGGTTTGAAACGCATATATGGATAAGAACAATGTCCTTTTTTATCTACACCTTAATTGTTATTCTGAATATTAGTTATGGTATTTTCTTACTGAACAACTTTAATTAGGGTGTGGGTATGGGTGTAGGTGTGGGTGTGGGTATGAGTGTGAGTGTGTGTGGATGTTGGTTTTCTGATCACTGACATCCCACACACCCACACCCACATCAAAGGTAAATAGACATCGATAAATATTCTTACGTTTTATTGGTGAAGTAACTGAGAGTTTTATGTATATGAATGACACATTGAGAAAACTTTTGTTTCAATATTGTATAGTCGTTACGAAAGACAAGATGAATAATTCTTGGTTTGCGAATGATCTTGTGTTATTTGAATCATTGAACTTTTGATTTCTTTTCCTCCTTTAAAAAGTAAAAGTTTAAAAAAGGCTCCTCATAGGAGTCACTGCACGAGAGCTACAACTGGTCGTACTCAATCGATAGTCTCAGATTTTGATGAAAGTCATCTCATTTTGTAGAACAATTTCTTTACGTATAAAACCAAATTTTTAGGCTTAAACGTTGAATTTTGACTGAAATACGCTGATCTCACTAATAGCATCCAAAATAGTTTTTGTTAATATGAGAAGTTTTGATCAATCTTTTGTGTAAGACACTTTAACGATATCTCATCACAAGAACGTGATAGAGTTCTAAAATTTTGACTAGATATATATTTTGAGATGGAAAATACAACCAACATATCGAATAATATCTACTTTAACTATATACTGAATGTTAACGATACCGACTATGTCTCATAAAATGTGTTACAGTAACTTGACTATTCTGCTCGTTTGAAACTTAGTTTACGACTTCCTCATATCTGTGAATATGCATTAGCATAAAATGTGAAAAATGAAAAAAAATCAGACTCAAAGATATATTTATCGTACAATATCTGTGATTTTTCAAAAATACAGATGACTTCATTATGAAAGTGACGTCAATAGATACAATTAAAGAGTGATGCTATAGAAAATTTATAGAAGATTAATTTGCTGCCAAACCATGCAACGCGTTCAGTGATATTTTGCATATAAATAATCAGAGTACGCATTATTCTATGCCTCTAGAAATGGTATTAGTGTACTCATTGTGAGTAGTTTGAGAGACAAAATTCATTTCTGGCATATGTAAGGTCTCAGGATCTGTTTCAGATATTTTCGATAGCAATCAATATCCCGAGAGTGTGAGTATGGATGTGGTTGCATATGTTTGACAAAAAAACATAACACCCATATCCACCCTAAGAAAATCCTTAAGCGATACCAGCTCATAACTTTCTCAACTCAAAGAACAATCCTCTTACAAAGTTTTGTACTTGTATTGAAATATCTTGAAAGCTTGAAGCAAACTAAATATTTCTTTTTCATATTCGAACCATTCGCTTATGAATTATACGAGTTTCAATGCAATGATTTTTCTCTTCATACAGAAGCTAAAATATGCATATCTATCGAAATATCAATGTTAGCCCAAATCCCTTCGGGCTTTTTCTTAGAGAAGACTATATGACTGATGTAGACGGTCTGGTTTTGGTGAAAATTACAGAGCATTTGTTTTTATTGTTCTAGAGCTACGTATATCTTTTAACAGACAGAAGCTGAAATTCTGTAAAAGCTACCAACGACGTGTTTACTTTGCCTGTGCGTGTTCTTCAATAGAATGAGTTGCAAGTACATTGTTTGCTCTTTTTCAAAGCAACCAAGAAAAATTTTCATTTTCGCCATTTCTTTCGTTCGCCCAAGTCAGTATAAAGAGAGCTTTGAAATGACACCAGCACAACTTCATTTTATGCTAGCAAACGAAAACAACGCTGACTTGTGCAACATCAAGACGTTCACACCGATGAAAAAATTTCTGTGGCTTAGAAACAGAGTTTTTCTTTCAAGCCACTTTACAAACACATTTCCATCTTCGCTGTTTCCCATATGTTTTATTCATTCACTGACCACAATAAAACATATTGCACCTCTCGCGATAGATTGGATATCATCATAAGGCACTAAGCAAATCAATCGGTGTGGATATGCGTGAATTGAGATATTGCACACAACATAGGGTATGGGTGTGAGACATGGGTCTTCTCATCGTTTTCGTGGAAGATATTTCTCACACCATGATCAAAAATAGTTCACCTGAAAATACGAAACTCTTTATAAGGCATTGACACAAGCAATTTATTATTATTTTTTTGTTTGGTCACAGACATTTAGGTGCAGAACCGTTTTTATGCCAAAGAACCGACGAGCAAGTTCACTATTTCGAAAAAATACTGCAAAAAAGACAATATTTTCTTCAAAGTACTTTCTTATATATTAAAATAAAGGCAAAGTGAAAAATTGAGTTCTGCTGGATTCTAAAACTAAACATGTACTTGCAGGCAAGTGGAAAACACTGATCAGTTCAGATAAACTTGATTCAAGAATAATTCTAGTTTGTATTTTCAACGAAGATTACATCAAGAAAAATTGAAAAACTGAACATTTTAAACTTAGTATTTGATTTCTTTTGAGAAAAACATCGATTTATTTTAGCAGAAAAGACAACCAGAAGTATGTATTAGATGCCGCGATAAAAATAACTCATTGACAAACAATCATGTCCACAAACTATATTGCATATGAAAATTTACATATGATACGGCAAGACCTTGTGTTTATCTCAACATTGACAGATTGTTAAAATGACGAACTTTTTTCAATAGAGTAGGAAGCTCAATCAGATAATATTTGTAACATCTGTTATGGAAAAGTCAGTTTATCAATGACACGTTACTAGCGTTATCTCGATGTAACAGTTTTTTTAAATACCATAAATCCCCAATCATACATGTTCTTAACAAGAAAACAAAAGTTTATAAGATTGAGTTACTATTATGTTTTTATCAATCGAATATTCCGATAAAGAAAAGGCATTATAATTAAGAAACCCTTATGTATTTTTTTTCCTTTTTATGAAACTAGATAAATTATTCTGGTAACAAAATAAAATATATTTTAATGAGAAAGGAGTTTTTCAGTTGTATTCTATGATCAACATTCATTCAACATATTATAATGAGTAGCGTCGTTTTGTAGGAGTGAATGTAAGTGTCAGTGCACATCTTCATTTCAATCACACCCACACTTGTACTTCGCTGTATTCCGAGAGCATGTCAAAACTATTCTCTCAAGCTGTTTAGCTATTCAATTCTACTATCAATGTGCATGTTCGGCAATAAAATCAAAGAACTTTATTGCCTGAGGATAGATTTGACATTTGTTTGAAGTATGCTTGAGTACATTGAAGTACTAACTGTTCACTTGTTTCCCCTTGGGTTTATGTACTTACTGCTTACAACCTTTACTATTATTTAATATCAAAAGAAACAAAAAGAATTTCACTATAAGTTTATTATCAAATATTTACTTGCATATAGATACAACAATTCACTATTCACGAAAAAAGAAAAACAAACAAAGAAAGAAAATAACACACAAAAATGAGAATACTGAATGGTGACTTATTCCAACATAATGAAAAAATTTTCGTATTGAATATCATACAAATAAGTCCATATTAAACTGTTATGATTCTATTAATTGTATCACAAAGATGAATATTTTTTTTTTATATATACAGTGGCTTCAAAATTTGATCATTCAGATTTAATTTTCGACTATTTTCTGTAATCATAACTGATATAAACAAACGATTCTTTGCATTACAAAATACAAAAGTAATTTTTTTCTGTATAATCTGTGAGATGAAAAGAAGTATTATGAAGTACTCGAAAACATCTCATTTTTCTAGAGAAATTAAATCAGTATACCATGACGACAAAAAAAGAATCGAAATTAAATCTTTACAATTAATTTTTAATAACCACTATATGAATCAGAGAGAATAAATTTACATTCTCATCTCTTTTTGTTTCCTATCTTCTGACTAGATGTGATCGAAGATAAAAAAGAAAAAAAAAAAAAAAAAAACAATTTTACAATTTCAAATAATAGGTAATGTTTGTGGAATAAGTTTAAATGAAACAGTATGTTGTTTATGATAAATAATATAACTAACCATAGCAATAACTAATGAAAGAAAAAGACATGATGCTATTATAGCAAATGGTATCCATGATACAATTAAATAATTTGTTGATCCATAAGTTTTTACTTCAGGAATAAGACGTTTCATGAATGGTGTTGAAAATTGATTAATAGATTCTTCGGAAGTAATTAATTGTGACGTTGTTGTTGTTGTTGTAATTGTTGTTATGCTTATAGTATCTGTAAAAACTTCTTCATCATCATAAATATTTGGTTCCATATAAATTTTAATAGTTGTTCGTTCTTCTTGAGAATCGGGATAAAATTGTGAATCTTGTTCATTAAAATCAATTAATGGTGATACAATTGATGGTGTTATTATAGATGGTGTATTAACTTGAATTATATCATTTTCTTTTTGTTTACGTGTAAAATATTCTGATACAATTGAACATGATGAAAATAAACAACGATCATTATTTGATGATTGACATTTTCTTATTTGTTCATTATCATTATTATTAATCATATTATTAAGAAAAATTAATATACAATCACAATCCATATTTTCTTGTGGTAAATAAACAATTAAATCAAATAATCGTCTTCGATTAATATAATCAGCTAAAGCACAACTTGTATTAGCTTGTAATGTTGAAAATTGTACATAACGTACATCTAATTGTTGTAAAGATGTAAGTGAATTTAAACTTTCAGTATCTAACATTTTTAAATATGGACCTAGTATTAATGTTTGTATATGTTTAACATATTTTAATGCACCATCTGCAATATGTTCAGCATCAAAAGAAATTGATCGTAAATTAGATAAATTTTCTAAACCATATAAAATTTTTGGTGTTATTGAAACATCTGGTTGTATTATATTTAAACCAGTTAATTGTTTATAATTCAAAAATGATAATGCATCTAATTTTCTCATTTTATGAGCTTCAATTGTATAAGATTGAACAGGAAATGATGGAAATTCTTCACTATTTACTATATCAATCATTCGAGTAACTTTTAATGATTGAATATGACCTGTAAATGTTGATACTAATAATGGATCATGTATTACAGTAGCACCTTCAATATTTAAATGCATTATATTTGTATTATTAAATATAGATTCAAATGATGATGTTAATGAATCAGCATAAATTGAAAGTTCATTAATATGAATATTATCAAATGTATTAGATTCAAATATAATTGATTTAGCTTTTATTGGATGTAATTCAATAATTAAACGTGAATATGGTGTATTTATACCTTGAAATAAATTACGAAATGCAGCTGTTTTAGCATGAAATAAATCAAAATTTTGAAAACGTAATGTTATTGTTAATGAATATTGTGTTGTATTTGTAAATAATTGATTTAATAATATAAAATAATCTGAATCAAGTTGAATATTTTCATTTGTATTAAATTTTATATCAATTGATTGAAAATTTTTATTTATTATTGATGATATTAATGTTAATGG